ACTATCGCACTATCGCGACTGCAAAATTCCACCCCGCCGTGGCGTCGACAGGACCTGGCTCAGTTCAACAAATCGATCGTGGAAGCCAAGGCCATGGCGGCGTGGTGCAGCCGCATTGCGAGAGACCGCATGCGAAAAAAAACTCTTTTTGTTCGAGTCGTCGTCCACCAGTGCAGCATGGCGGGAACCCGCACTTCAAGACCCACAAGGGAGTGAAGAGTGCCATCGAGTGGACGTCTCAGCATGTGCTGTCGGACTCAGGGACAAGGACACCGGAAAGTTGTTCGGCAAGAAGTGGGGCTTCATCACGAATGCGCCGGGAATCGTGGCGATGCTGGACCGACTGCAGTGCGATCACAGCCACGATCATCAGCTGGTGGAAGGCAAATCGGGTGGGCAGTTGAGGTCCATTCAAACGCAAGTGTATCCAAAGAAACTAATAAACAGCATTCTAGGAGGACTGGCTTGCAACGAACGCTTTGAGCATTTGTGTCTTCCAGTCAGCCAGGCCGATGTCCAGGATGAGTCCCCCGAACTGAGTAAAGGTTCTTTAGATCGGATTCGGAACGCGGTGAAGAAGATGCACATCAATCTAGGTCACGCATCGTTGGAGGACATGGTTCGCATCTTGAAGCATCATGGCACACGTCCGGAGGTTCTGGAAGTCGTTAAGACCTTCCAGTGCGACCTGTGCGATGCTCGCCGTCAGCCTAAAGCAGTGAAAGATAGCGCAGTCCCTCGGGACTCAGCTCCACTGCGATATCTCGGTCTGGATGTGAAATGGTTGCCGACTTGGAAAAAGGATGTACAAATAATCAAGGCCCTGAACGTAGTTTGCAGAGCTTCAGGTTTCCAACAGATGTACCCTTTCCGAGAGACCGAGACGGCGGACCTATTAGTGAGGCTTTATCGCATGTGGACCCGCTCCTTTGGCCGGCCGAGATATGTGAAGTTCGATGCAAGTCGATGTAACCTAGGACAGCAGTTTTGGGACGCTTTGGAGCGAGATGGTACAACACCTTTGGATATTCCAGGTGAGGCTCATGAACAACTGGGGCCGGGGGATGTCGAGGTACAAGGCCGACACTTTGCAATGATGTTGACAAAGGTCATTGATCAAATGCAACCAGATGACTATCCCCAACGGTTGGAATGTGTTGACTGTACCACGGAGGCCAAAAATCAGTTGATGCGCCGGGGGGGGGATACAGCCCAAATCAGATGGTGTTTGGACGGGACCCTGAATACCCTGGAGACGACTTGTTGGACGACAACCCAAACCCCATATCAAACGGCGCCATCCTGGAAGATGCAATTGCTTCTTTTTCATTTCGTACACGGCAGAAGGCGAAGCAGTTCTCCAGTCATTGGACCATCGAGCAGCCAGGATCGCTCTGAATGCCAGACCTAGACCCAAGCGAGAGTTCAGACCCGGAGACGAGGTAGCAGTTTGGAGAAGAGGTCGAGGGATTAAGAAGAGCATGGCACGTTGGAGGGGCCCCGGAATTGTTGCAGGTGAAGTAGGTGGAAACTATTGGGTATCAATGCCTGGTTCGTTTGTCAAATGTTCACCCGAACAACTCAGACTGAGAACGGCATCTGAACGAGAGGCTGATCGATTTTTGGTCAGAGATATCCGTGCAGCGGCTGCTCAGTTGTTTCCGGAGGTCGGAGTGACAAAGAACACTCAGAAGAATTTCATTGACATCACAAAAGATGATTTACCTCCAGGAGATCTTTGCCCGGATAGCCCGACCTCAGACAGCCAGCAGCACCCAATGGAGATGGCCGAACAGCCTGACCAGCCAGAGCAGGCAGACAGACCGAGTCAGCCATCGGTGCACACCAATCCACCAGTGACTATCTCATCGTCACTAAGTGACCAGCTAGACCAGCTGTCACCTGATGAGCTGAACGCCTGGCGAGAGTCGGCAGAACGTGCCAACCGCCTAGACGGCCGCCGTAGGCCACAGGGCCCGGAGCCAGAACCGAAGAGGCTCAGACCAGAGCAGAGAGTCGGAGGGCAGGTTTACCCTCAGACTCTTCTACCAAGTCCCCCAACAAGAGAACCCGCACAAGTCCCAATCCCTGTTTCCAGTGGATCATCTGACCCTACCAGTTCATCAACGAGTTCATCATCATCACACAGCATGTTTGTTGATCGGAGACAATTTTTGGATTCAGCAGCATTGAACGTGGGTTGGAATGAACAAGGATCAGAAGAACAGGAGTGGGTACTAGCGGTGGACGACAGTTGTGGGACAGAGGACAATGTTTTGTTGGCAGGTGGACGCAAGGAGATCAACCTCAAAGAGATGCAATGGGGAACTCAACAGGGAAAGGACAGATTAGTGAAAGGGATCCGGAAAGAGGTCAAGAACTGCATAGAAGACAAACCAAACAAGCCCTCCGTCCATGCTCACTTGAAAAGTCTCGTCGGATTCGGCAGCAACATCCAGAGCGGATCGTGCCAAGCCGGCTGGTCCTGACGCCGAAACTGGACGACGCAGGTGAAGAAATAGTCAAGGCAAGATGGACAGCGAGGGGGGATAAAGACCCTGATCTGTTTGCATTGGTAAGAGGAGGCAAAACACAGTCACCAACGATCTCTTCAAATGGACGCTTCACAGTTCTTCAAACCATAGCCAGCTGCCAGTTCACCTTACAACTTGGAGACGTGACAGGTGCATTTTTGGAGACGAAGGAGCTGAAACGAGATCAACGCCTGTGGATGTCATGCCCCAAGAACTATCCTTTGCCAGATCATGACCAGGAGCAGTTGTTTGAGGTGGTGAAACCGTTGTATGGTCTGAATGACAGTCCACAGAAATGGTACAGTACTTTTGATGAAACCGTGAAGGAACTTTCTTGGACTCCATCTAAATTGGATTGTGGGATTCCAAGCAGGGCCAGGGGAGGTCGTGCTTAGTTGGAATCATGGGGGTACACGTGGACGACGTTCTGTTGGGTGGTCGTGGAGAGCTGTTCGAGAAGTCGATTGCAACCCTCAAGATAAAGTTCCACTTCAGGAAATGGATGACAAGCAAAGGAACCTTCTGTGGATCATTGTTGACACAAGACCCAAAGACATACATCATTGAGGTGAGCCAGGAAGAGTTTGCAGACAAGATGGGAAAACCGAGACCTCATCACTGAAGTCGGTGCTAGGAGCAGGATTATGGCTAGCAAAGGAGACGCGACCAGACCTAGCCGTACAAGTCAGCCAAGGACAACAAATGCTCCCATCACCAACTTTGGGCGAAGCCAGGACAATCGCAAACATCACCCGAAGAGCCAAGCAACACAAGACTTTAGTGTGGAAGATACTACCTATCCCACTTGAGGACATCAGACTGTGCCTTCATACTGATGCTGCGTTTGCAAACGCTAAGCGACAAGGAACACAAGCAGGATACATTGTTGGCATCACCACCAAAGCACTCAAAGATGGACAACCAGCACCCTGGAGCCCAGCTGTGTGGAAATCCTATCGTTTAAAACGAGTTGTTGGTTCCACTTTTGCAGGCGAAACCCAGGCTTTAGCAGATGGTTTGGGGCATACAGAGTGGCTAGCGTGTCACCTAGCCGAGTTGAAACACCAGACCTTTGCCCTTGCTGAGCGTTCAGAGTACTTCCAAGAATTTGGTATTCAGGCTATCACGGACTGCAAAAGCATTTACGATCATTTGCAAGCTTACGCTTCCCCGGGGAGTGTTGGGGACAAGAGAGTAGCTATTGATCTGGTGATAGTCAAAGAGTCACTCAAAAGACTTTGGGGTTCTATCAGATGGGCACCAACCTGGTTACAACTGGCTGATGCTCTCACCAAAGAGAATGTGGATGCCATGGACATTGTAAGAGGAGCCATGAAATCAACAGTGTATCACTCCAGAGTGCTGCAGAACAAAGAGCACTCAGGATGAAAAGCAAATCGAAGTCGCCAGAGATTGTTGGCTCAGAAGTGCTTTTGGTTCAGGAAGCTGAACCGCAGGAACACATGGTGAAAGTGTCCACGAAGGGATGCGAAGAGGCGGAGGTGCGAGCTCTGTTTGAAACCATGGTGGCACGCTACGTGAAGGACGAAGAGGACTACCAGAGGAACCTGCTGCAGACCAGGACAACTTGCAAGGCAAAGCTCCCTTTGAGCCTCGTGAACTCGAAGATCTTTCGAGGTGAGACCGGATTCGCCACGTTTACGTTCACCAAGACAACACAAATGGTGGCGATCCACGCAGGGGCGGCGCACCTCGATGCCGTGGAAGATACTTTCACTGACGTGATCGACAAATTCAAGACCATGATGACCAAGAAGGAAATCATGCCGATGGTGGAGGGGACTGGTGAGTGGTCCGAGGCCTTCAGGAAGATTTTGTTGGAAGGCCCAATGTCTCAATACTTGGATGCCGAAAATGAGAAGAAGGAGGGCCAGGACAAGGCGCCGGTCACCATGACCCAGACCTTGACGCCGCAGGACGACGAGTATGTCGCCGCGATCGCGGAACTATGTCATGAGGGGGCCCGTAAGCTTCACTCTTTTCCCGCGTGGCGGAAAAAGTACCTACGCGTCATGTGTCAAGAATTCGGAGCCGAGCCGGGAGTAGTCATGGAGTTAAGTGGCCTGACCGAACATTTCAACATGAGTACAGATGACGGAGAATGGACAGTGGAAGCGGCACCTGCAACGGCAGGAGGGCCAAAGGCCAAGCCGAAATCCAGAGCTTTTTGGTCAGGGTACCCGAAGTCACCATGAAGTCCCAGCCGGCTTGAGTCAGGAAAGATTTTGACGAATGTGTTTTTCGCTTCTGACTCAAGCATGTTTTGACCCTCGAGCATCCGGCTCGAGTATGCAGAGCGGGAGGGTCCCGCACGGAAGCTAGACTTGAGCCCCTGAGCCAAAAAGGCTTTTTGCGGCCGCAGGCGCGGCTGTCGGACTTCGCGGAAGGGCGACCAATCCCTTTAAAGGTGACCTGTCACCAGTCCGGCTGCTCGAATGGAACGAGGCCAATACTTTGGGAACTGCGTCCCTCGCCTTGATGGCTCTAGTGTTGGGGTCCTCAGACAAACTGACGTTCGGAAGGCTATGGGACAATGGACGCGTTAGAGCTCCCCTATGAATTTAGCTGTGCATCTGAGCCACAGAAGGATGAAGCCCAGATCCATCCATCAGCATATCTTTCCTTCTGTGAATTCTGGATTTTGCTTGCATAGGTTCGTCAACATGAGTGATTCTGTATATAAGTGGCAGGCTTGAGGTTGATGACTTAAAAGATCTTTAAAGTAGCTTGTTGCATTCCCTGGGCCATTACAGATTGGATCCACACCTAGGAGCGGTCCTCGCTGGCTGGGAAGCTGCGGTCGGGGGAGCCGCGAGCCAAATCCTACACACCAGCCAAGACCATTGGAGAGGACAGCGTTTGGAGAAGGAAGGGATCTCCGAAGGGTCGCCAAGGGTTCCAAAGTGCTGAACAGTCGCAACTTTATTGACCTTGAACTTTTGTGAACATTAGAGCCATTCATTTGTCGAGAAGGACGGAACTCACTGACCTTGATCGCCTTGATCCCTTGATCCGTAAAAATGCAGGCAGTGGCGCCTTGCTACGTGCACCCGCCAAAGTGGTCTTTCGGTGGAGGCCCAGCTCCCGGGGTTGAAATGAACTGCTGAACAACTGCGTGGGTGTGTGCAGGGATGAGGTCGGAGACTCCCACGATGCTATTCATACAAGTTTATCGTACAATATGGGGATATATGGGGTGTATACTGCAGGCAGGCAAAGCATGGTACATATTGTTGCTAGATTTTTACTTGTTTACTCGCCTATCATCAGCTGTTTGTATTTTTAGTAACCAAACCCAAGCACCGGAGCTCAGGCAAAACCCGGAGCACCACCTTGTCGGCGACGGATGGAGGTGGCAGTCTTTCATGTGGAAGCCTTGCAGCTGAGCAGAAAGGGCTTCGGATTGTTCCGAGTCGCTTCTTGCTCCTAGTAGTAAGGCCAGGAGCCTCTAGTAGCGTCCTTGCTCCTAGGAGCCATGCCCTTGTTCCTAGTAGCTTCTTGTTACTAGTAAGGTTTCCTGAGGATGTGTGTTCGTGTCTTTCCATGCTTATCAGCTGCTTATCTACATGTTTCGTGAGGCTTTCTTTGCTTTGCTCGGACATTGCAAAGAAGCGCTACTGAATACCAGATACTAGATACTTCCAGAGTACCTGGACCTAGACTGATGACATAGCCTCAGCCGAAATCACAGTTTTGGTACCTCATTTCCACCTGCGTTGAACTGTGGAGCTGGCTTTGCTCATGATTTTCTGGATGGGCATCGGTATGTGATACCAAGCTAATGAAGCACCTACAACACTTGCTTGCACAATGGTGTTTCTTTGAGAGGGGTAGCGGATCACATTTAGCATCTTTTCAGGTTAAACGGTTGAGCTGATCTAAACTCTGTGTTCCAAGTGATGTTCTGGTGGTCTTGCCCATCAGGGTGCACACATGAGGCCAGCCTCAAGCGCAAGCCCAAACGTAGCTTGTCACGTGGCTTCGGCAGTGGACGGGGCACCACGAGGCAGGGGGGTGGAAGGGGCAGTATGTGAGCGACACATGACTCGGATTGACTTGGCACAGACTCGTTTCAATGTACTGGCGACCTCTCAATCATCATTGTTCTCACTGCTGTGCAGGCGGCCTTCAGTCTCTCCTGGCCCCGGAAGCTACGACCTTGTGAGGGTGGGTGATGAGGCAGAGCATGCTTTATGGATATTCATGGTTTGTCTGGAACGCTTGCAAAGCTCAAAGTTTCAATTAATTTTAAGTCTAAAGAGTTTAAAGGCAGCTCCTTTTGGATGTCCGGTTGATTTTGTGGAAGTGCTAAAAACCCTGTGGAAGGATGAGGGACACAAAACCGATAACCCCATACTGTAGACTTCTTGAGGTGGCCGTGTGTGAGCATGCCTAGAACAATAACCGGAGCAACAACTGAACGCTAACCCAGAATTGCACGGGGTGGGGATGCGTTTGGAAACCCACTCCTTCAGTTATAGGCCTGAAGACTTGTTCAAGAGCTCCCTTGCAGTGTCATTTTAGGAACGATGTGCAAACACAGTAAAACGATGTAAAGACGATAAGAGTCCCTTTCGCTGGGTACGTTGTGTCCTTGTCCTTGTGAGCGAAAGCCTAGCTGGAACACCCAAACCGCTAAAGGCAAGAACTGCTACAGGTATATATATATATATACACAATCAATAATAGAGCAAAAGTTGACCTTGGCTCAAAGGACTCTCGGTAGGACGGAAGTGTCAGACATGGGAAGCCGGCTAAGTCAATCCGCGAACTGCGAGGTGCCCCAGTGGTCCTCCAGGTCGCTTTTGCCATGGGGGACACGCACAGGTGGGCTTTTTGGGACACCCTGGGCCATGGTTGGAGAGTCAGTTGATGAACATTTTATCATGTTTTGTTTTTCTCACTGGCTTGCAGAATCGCCCTGACAGAGTTCGAGGTGTTGAGACCTGTGGTATGAAAAAGTTTATGTTGGCATGTGCCACTGTAATTGATTTGGGGTGAGTGACCCTTTGGTGTCAAGAAGGTGATACTGTCTCTCCACTGATCAGATTGGATGGCTCAGGTGGCCGTAGCCAGTTGGTGCACTCAGCCTCGGACGTGGGCCCTGGCGAGTACACTGCAGAGCAGGGCATGGAGCTGGGCCCGACTGCCAAGCTTCTCGGCAACAGGGATCACACTTGGAAGGGCTAGGCAATGTGGGCGTGGTTTCAGAGAGTTTCACTTTCACAATCTTTCATTTGGGATGTCAATATGGAAAGGCCTGTTGCAGTTGCAGTGTTGAAGTAAGGATGGAGTTTCAAACGTTGTTCAACGCAGAATGTACAGAAGACTTTTGTCCTTGCCAAGGAGCAGTTTCGGTCCGGTAGCAACAGCTACAGTATATATATATATATCTTGTAGAAAAGGGCTGGGGAGCATGCAAGGCGCAAATTCTTTTGAAAGGGGACCTCTCGACAGAAGCTGCAGGATTGGGCAGAAGCTGCAAGAGCTGCCAGTGGCTTTGCTGGAGGGTTGTAAAATCAGAAGTAGACAGCCGAGTAGTTTCGTTTTAAGATTCATTATTTTTTTTTGGGGGGGGTGAAATGGCTGTGGACTGTCGAATGGGGTGGTCAACATTCAAAACGGACTCACAAGCACAAAGTGTATTCATACGCACGAAGGAGAGCAGCTGATCTACCGCAGTGTAAGGACTCGCGGATCAATTATCCAGCTCCAGGGCACTATCCACTGGGAAGCACCTTGTGTCCGAAGAAGCCATACAAGAAAGGCAGGGAGTGACAATGAGTGACGGGGGTTTTCAGGATCCGTGAGTTGAGCTCTTTGGAACGCCGACTCCAACCTAAAAGCAATGGCCTCCAACTCCAACCCAATAGGGATGGCCTCCAACCTGGGTTGCAGTTCCTTAGTGTAAGCTTGGCTGGTGCGCTGAAGTTCAAGGTGCAATCATGTGCAAGCTCAGAAAAGAAGGACACGTTGCTATGAAGATCAATTAGAGCAAAACGAGAAAGCATGAGAAAGCGACTAAACCAACGAGACTGACAAGGCCCGCGGAATCCAAATTAAGCGACTGTTTGTGAACAGTCACTCAGCAGGCCTCCTCTTGAAAGAGAGATGGGAGAGTGCGCCCACACACACACACACACTCACACTCATACTCACAATCACCATCAAATGTGCTCTGCAAATACAAACTCGTCTCACGTGCAAATACAATCTCGTCTCACGTGCTGTTTGCTTTGCTCTTGGGTGCTGGTTGGAAACACTTGCAAAGCATGCAATAAATGCAATTGAAGAGCTGCAAGCAGTTTGAAAGCAATGTTGATATTAGATATAGACTACGGCAGTATTCAACTCCGAATCTTGTGTCCTGCGGTCAAGAGTAGGGTGATCCCCACTAATGGAGTTTATTCCTATTCGTGATGTAGGCATATGTAGTCTGTAGTCACTTAAGCTCAGAGCTCTGTGGTGTAGAGCTCAGCAAACAGCAGCAAACTGCCAAGCTTGCTCAAATGGTCTCATCTCCCCTCTGCAGCAGGCTGCCCTAGCCCAGGAATTATGGGCTCTGGGCAGCGTTCCACCATGTGACTTGGCAGTGAGTTGACAAGCCTGGGAGCGGAAGAAGTTGTTGTTCAGGTTGGCACAGGGCTGAGAGGGGGAGAGGATTTCTTGAGAGGGTTTCCTGGCTTTGTTGGATGATGCTTTCCTGGATTGCACGAAGGGAAACACATGTAGTTCAATCTTCAATGAACGTTTGCGCTCGCCTTTGAGCGGAGGTCATCGAAAGATGATGGTCCTGGCTTTGTGTATCATCCAGGCCTTGCATGACCTCATACTAGCAGATTGACCTGGGATGAAGTCGGCCACTGGATTTGTTGCCTCAACGACCAAGATGCTTGTGCTTGTAGTCTTGGACTTTCAACTGAGCAACCTCCAAGATGGTCCGAGACGAACGTTTTGATGCGACCAATCACAGACGACGCAGGTGTGGAGCCCACCACGCGCGCCCAGTTCTGGAGCCAGGGCGAGCGCAAGAGTTGGTTGGATGCCGATCCCGATGACCCGCCAGGGCCAGGACGACGGTGAGTACCTGCTCACTGAGCCCAAACTCAGCGTTGCAAAATAAGAGAAAGTGAATGGACATGAGAAAACATTGGTTCCAAGGTTTGTTGTGCACATAATATATATATATGTTTGACAGGCTAAATATCTTAGTCTCCCACTCGTTCATTCAAATCCCAACACAAGGAGCATACAACCTTGGCAGCTGCCTACAGGATGGTGAGGGGAGTCCTTCAGGCGGGGCTTCGGTGACTTGTCCCCTCTTCTGCAAATTGACACATCAACCTATGCCTGTACATACAAGAGAAGCTACACACATTTCCCAAACCAGGTCCAAACTCGGCAGTCAGGTGATCTTCCTACCAGGCAGTTTGTCTCAGACGACATATCATAGGCAAAGTAACGTCAGACAATGGCAAGCGTTCAATCCCCTGGTTGAACAAGCTCGAAAGGATGGCTATGCCAAGTTCCCAAGTTTCCCTAAACATCTAGGAACCAAATCATTATTAGTGCGTGAGCCTTAGCCATTCTGCGTCGAGTTAGTAGAAGCTTAAGTATTGCTAGTAGCTTACTCCCTTAATTGAATAGGCGCCGACGACTTAATCAAGCAGGAGCGGGCAAACAAAAGGTTGTCTGGTTTCCTGCTACCGTGAGGCTGGCCGAAGGATGAGAAGCAGTTCCGCAAGATGGATGGCTTACTGCCCGCCGATGTGCCGGGCCCGGAGTATGATGTGCCCTTCGAAGCTTGGACAGAAAAAGAGGTTGAGCGTTGAGCATGGTTGAGCTGCTGAGCTACCCTCCCTTCCAGTCTGTAGACGACGTGGAAAGACTCGTCTCCCGGACTTTTGAGATTGGTGAGCCATTTGCCAGCGTTGGGATTGTCCAACAAAGAAGCAATCAGATAGTAGATACTGTAGCTGGGTTGGCTTCATGTCTTTGACTCATTTGCACTCAAGGGGTCTTCTGACCGCCACTTGTGCCAGGAAAGGCTCGGATGGAAGATTGGATTCCGAGGGCGGCTTGCACCTCCCAAGGAGGAGTGTGTTTTGTGTCAAGGTACACGAGGATCTCGGTGAAGAAAAACATGAGCGACTTCAGACTTCTTTCCCCAGATAGCGATAGCTATGGGGTTCTTAATTATATATACACACTGTATACTTCAAATAAATAAGAAGGAGCTGGCTGTCCGCGCTTGAAACATGGTGTTGGTGCTGGTGCTGGTGCCCACGCTGCACGCACTTTGAAAACAGGGTGTCGGTGCTGGTGTCAGCTGGCTGTGCGCGCTGGTGTCGGTACTGGTGCTGGGTTCTGGTGCCAGTGCTGTGAGCTGGTTGTGCTGGCAGCATGTGCAGTCTAGGTCCAGCCAGCCGCATGTCACAGCTACAGAACTTGAGTTTTTGGGGTCTTGGATTCTGCCTAGCTATCGGGGGTTTGTGTTGGTGTCATATTCTGTAGGGGGGTGAGCATTTGGAATCTGCATTTAACTTTGGTGTTCACCAGCGGTACAGGGCTTGACACACAGACCCATACCATCCCAAAGTCGTAGAAAATCGGTCAGGTTCAAATGCATTTTTCGACTTTCCAGGAGCAGAAGCTCTCACCTGATGCATACCATCCCAGCACTGAGCTGGTGACCTATTGTGCTGGCGTGCCAAAGCCAATGTGTCTCGGCTGCGACACAGCCAGGTGGTTGAAGATTTGGAGTGAAAACCCGCTATGCAGTTATGCACCGTGTCGGTGTCATATTTCACGTGTTGGTGTGATATCATGTGTTTGCAACATGTTCGCCCAGCCGTGAAGGCACCGCACCGCTGAGCGGCGCAGCATCTTCGACGTGGCGGCAAGCCACGAGGGTGCTGCTGAGGCTTTGTTCAAGCGAGCGCTGAAGGGGCTTGGCGAGGATGTGGCTTGGTGGATCTCAGTGGGGAGGATTCAGCGCTCGCATGGATTGGGGTTCTTGGCATTTCTTGGCCGGTCACATAAAGGATTGAAATGGTCATGGATTCCTGTATGCAAGACAACGCACAGACTGTGCAAATGGGGTCGTGGTTCAATAAGACACGTTGAGCTCCCGTACAGCAGACAGAGTGTGGTCTTACCGTGCAGCTAACAGCAAGGCTCAAGAGAAACACTGAGGTTGTTGAACTGTGACTTTAGACTCTAGACCAGGCGCATGGCTATGTTTCGGTTTGCTTTGGTGTCTTTGGGCGCGGCAGCTTTGCCACAGCTCCCTGCTGAGGATGCTGTCCTTCAACATGCAAGCTGTGACATGAACATTTCGCTTCAAGCAGAAGGTTTTCTGCATGAGTGGTGTAGCGGGGCAACCTCAAAAGAGCGTTTTCCTGCTTGCTATCCCAACGGAGTGCCAGATTGGCATCGGGAAAGCAATGTCATTGTGCGCTTGCCAGATCCAAACAGTTGCGCTGTGGCTGTGTCAGAAGAATGGGTGATCTCAGGCTGGTCTTGGAAATATGTACAGCTGGCACCAGGACAGTCTTTCAGTCTGAATGTCAGCGACTCAGAACAAGCCTTCTTGAAGTTGATCCGTGGAACGGTGCTTGATGTGAACCAGATTGGTGTGCAGAATGCCGAGGGGCACTGGGAGACTTTTGTGGTCACACCACCAAACACGGAGCGAAGCTTGCAGTTGGACCATCGCTTGAAATCTATCAAAGCAGGATCCGAAGGTGCGGTCTTTGCGCTCATGGTGGTTCCTGTGGAGCTTTTCAATGTGCCAATCACGGCTATGGATGCGGCTCCCACCACCACCATCAGCGGACCCTTCTCGGAACACTTCCAATGGACGAAGTTTGCCAACTACTTCCCGGAGGCATTCCCAGATTCCTTGGAGTTTTGGAATCTTGCTGGCATTTTGCTTCAAGATCATCATGGAGACCGCCTGAATTACAACCAGTGGTGGACTCAAAAGCAAACTGATGACACCGATGGAGGCTACCACAACCATGCAGGAACCCCACGGAATGGCACCTTCGGGGAGTTGCACATGGTCATGTACTCCGCTGCACCAAACACGGGCATGATTGTTCAGCTGCCTCACACTGTGTACACTGAGACTGTGCATGCGCCCAAGGAAATCCCAGCGGACAAGAAGTTCTTTTGGAACAACCGAGACAATAACTATGTGCAGCTGACTCTTCCTTTGCCTCCAGGATATGTTCATGGCCCGCTCTGATCCATCAATGTCACTGATGGTGAGCCAACTCGTGATTGCATGGGCGCCGTCCGCTATCCGTGGCATGGCCTGGTGACTGGTCCGATCAGTGCAACCCCAGGATCATCCTCTCATCCAGCGCGATACACACTGTGGGTCGTTTTTGAGCACGCCCCTGAGGTCATCACTGTGCCAACCCCAATGCTGCAATATGTGACCAATGCATATTTGCAGAATGTTGTGGACTGGCCCACCAAAGCCTGCGCAGCCCGTGAGGTCGAGTCAGACTTGGGGGAAGATCACAGAGATTCAAGCCACTCAGTCGGTGCAACCTTTCACGTCTTTGTGGCTTTGGTTGCTCTGGTGGCATTCATGAAGTGATCAGCCACCTCAGAGTTCACCCTTTAAGGGTCGAAGCTATCTTTTGGAGCCTACCTGTGCGTGGCCACTGTCAAGAGTGCAGGGGCTGCGAAGATTAGTGCATGCTTTGGCTGAGCCACCTGCCCTTGGTTCAAATCTTCTTCAATCCCTCCTCAAACCCTTAGCTTACAGTATGAACAAGGCACAGCCAAGTCTCCTGGCCCTTGTAGAGAGCATATTCCCATGTCCAATTTTTTGTACAGAAAGAGTTGAAGCGGTTTGTGCTGGCCAATGCGAGGTAATTTGTATTTTTAGATTCTTAGATATGATCAGAAAAATGAAATTGCTTTGCAGCTGTTGGCATGCTCGAAGGGCATGCTCGAAGGATCTCGAAGAGCACGAAGTTGCTATCAGGTACAGTAAATGTTTGGTGTAGTAGGTAGTTTGCTTATTGATTCTACTTGTAAAATTTGTTTGGTAGTGAAGCAGGACACAATTTTTGTTTCTTGCCATTGTCTCAAGCCGTTCTCTCCGAGGCAGAAGCTGGCAAGTCAGAGATGTGCGCAGGGGTGGACATGTGCTTCAGACCTGGAGAGCTACCTAGAAGCCCTTGGAAAGCCGATCAGGGTTCTTTTTTCCCTTCATTGGCTGCGCCCCAAAAGATTGCCCTTTATTTACAGCACCCCTCGCTGCGTTGGTCTTCATTTTAGTTTTGCACTGTTGGAAGATGTGTCCTGTAGGTACGAGAGCAGCGGCCCAAGCTGGTCATTGATGCCCCGGAGACCTCCAGCCAAGAAGGAGGCAGGGAAACTGAGAGGGGCATGGTTCAATCATCAATCGCATCTAATGCTGAATTGTTACTTTATCAGACCTACATCCTTCTCCATTGGCAGGAAGGATGTACATCCATGTACGGACCTTGGTCATCAATCAACTAAAGGAAAAGCATAAATTATTACTACATAAATACATAAAACGGAATGATCAGGACGGACAATGGAAGTGCACGCCGAAATTTGGTGCCTCGACCGTTCGGTACTTTCGGATCTTTATATTCATAAAAACACACACACAAATATGTATATATATATAAATATTACGAAAGCCAGCCGTAGGCTAGGCTGAAGGTCTGAATAGCGAACGAAGTGAGTATTTGGGGGTCTGGGGACTTAGTGGGGACAACCGGCAAAAAGTGGGTGGACGCGATTTGAGCAAAATTGCAAGTTTTGAGGAGGCTGTGGATGCAAGTGATGCAATCAAACGGGGGCTGTCATGATGTAAATGATGCAATGGCGTGGGTGAAGAAGAAGGAAAGATAAGGAAGGAACAAGCAAGAAGAAGAAGAAGAAGAAGAAGAAGAAGAAAAGAACGAAGAAGAAGAAAAGAACGAAGAAGAAGGAAAGAAAGAAGAAGAAGGGTCATGCAAGATGCAGGAAATTTCGGTACTGGACCTGGAATTGGCACGTTGTGCTGCTTGTTCGTATCTTTTTATTACATTTAGCTTTAAAGGAGGAAGAAGGAGTAAGCAAGTTGAAGAAGAAGGAAGAGACAGGAAGAAGGGGAACAGAACAAAAAAGAAGGAAAGAAGCGCGAAGAAGGGTCCTGCAGGAAAGCCGGGTACTGGAATTGATACGTCGTGATTGCTTTGGGCGGACACGTAACCTTGTACAGGCCGTTCGGCCAACGAGTTCATCAGGGGTGCAGCCTCGTCAAACTCAAGCATCCATAGTGCAGCTTCTTGGGGGGGGAGCTTTCGACCCCTCCCTTCTCAGGTATTTTTATTACTATATATATATATATTTATAGTATTACGATAAGGCCTACCAACAGGCGCGCGCGCAATTCGGCCAAGCCAAGTCCCAAAAATCTGACAAGATTTTGGGATTTTCAGCGAAGGCATTTTTCCTTTTGGCGGCTTCACATTTGGTGCTCGGTTTTAGCGTCAGCGGAAAGGACCCGAAATAATTGGATATTTTGGAAGCTTTAAATTTCCGATTTCCAAAAAAAGTTGATTATTTTGAGATTATTTTCTCGGCGCCCATATCAACAAATAATGGATTATATTTGAATTTTCACTTTGCTCTCCCTACTGCTGTACCACTAGGCAAAAAGCATGACGCTTGCTCGACTCCTCCCAGAACGATGGAAACATGAGTATGTAGCTGGTGATTTTGAGGTATGACGCAAAGTGCAGAGACTCATACGCAGGTCAATCCACAACACATTCTACCATACACAATCATGTATTGATATCAATTGTCCACTGAGGTATTCGTATCTAATGTCAAATCCACAAATAAAATTTGAGTTTGACCGATAAAATCCAGTTCGCCCGATGATTGTCTTTTAAAACCAGGTTTGCTATCCAGCTTTGAGCTTGGGTGATGCTAGTAGCCGTTTCACGTCAGGTCAGATTCCAATATTGCTCAAATTCAAGATTCCTGCAATTGTAGTCATCTTGTGGTGTCATGCACCAATTTGCGCTGAGTTGTCTTTGTCCAAGAGACCAAGGTTTTTTGGGGCCGATCGCTATGTGCAGAGAGCTCACCAGGAGGGGGAAGGCCGGGAGCAATTGTATTCCTGCCTGCTGGAAGAGTTCTGGTAAGAACGGCTGTGAAGCAGTCCATATGGCCTCGACACCTTTGATGCTTGGGCTAAAGCCCGAAAAGCCAATATGATCCGATCTTTGCATGTTATTCGAGATGCGAGATTCGAGATTGATTCGAGATCCGAGATTCGGGTTTTCCGAGATGCGAGATCCGAGATTCAAGATGCGAGATTCGGGATTCGAGATCCGAGATCCGAGCCTCGGGAGTCGAGATCCGAGTTCCTATATTTGAGATGCGAGATTCGAGATCCGAGTTCCGAGATTCGAGGGGCGAATTTCGAGATTCGAGACCCCCGAGATTCGAGATGCGAGATCCGAGATTCGAGATCTGAGATTCGGGATTTGAGATCCGAGATCGCCGAGATCCGAGATTAGAGATGCGAGATCCGAGATTCACGATCCAAGATCCGAGATTGGAGATGCGAGATTCGAAACTCGAGATCCGAGGTTCGAGTTTATGAGATCCGAGATTTGCGATTTGAGAGCCGAAATGCGAATTTGGAGGTTCGGAACTTGAAATGCGAGATTTGAAATTCGAATGTGGAGGATCGGAAAATTTAAATGCGAAAATTGAAGTCGCGACGTAGGGCTCGATAGGCGACTGCGGACCTAGCGTTCGGTGATTGTAGATGGGGATTGTCGCTATTATTGTCTTTATTATGGTTGTTGTAGATGGTGTTGTAGATGGTTGTAGTTGTTGTGGTTGCGGTCGTGGTTAAGGAGTCTATCGAGATAAGGGACATTGGGGGGGTCGTCGTTGGGATATTTGGGATGATATTTATAATGATGCTATGGTGATTTTTAATACTAAAATAAGGTAAGATGCTCGATTTAGCTGCGATCGTTGCGATCGGTACGTTGTATTGTGCGTCGGTGCGATAAATATTTATCGTTAAATTGGAAAGGGGGATTGGGAAATTAGGATTTTTTGGATGATATGTAATAAAATTTGCTTTTTGGGTAAGAAACAATATGATTATTAATCTTTTTCTTTATATTTTTGTGGTTGGATTAGAAAAAAATAGTTTTTTTCTTAGGATTAACTAAAAAGAAGAAAATTAATATATTACGATTATGGGATTTTAACAATTATTTATCTCCTAGGATTTTTAAATACATAAAAATGATAAATAAAATTGATTATATATATTTTTAAGGATTGATAATATTAGGTTGTCTTACCATTATTAGCCATATTTAAAATTAACAATGAAGGATAAATATGCAATATTATTCCAATCCATACTTAGATTCATCCCTAAAGAACATCCAAGGTGAAATTATGTTTATCATTTTATGTTTATTGAGGTTGAAGGACATTCCCTATTCAAAATTCCATATATTTCCATATGCAACCATCCTACATCTAGATTTAGATCCAAAGATCCGACTTACATCAGATTTGGTATTATAAATTTATCCTTTTGGACACCATTTTTATTGAAATATGATGAAATATATTTAATCCACGGTGGTTCCTCTGGACAATCCTCTATTTCCATTATTCCATTCTTAACCCCCGCATCCAGACTCATCCCCAAAGACTTGACTCACACCACAAAATCAAAAAATCTAAGGTGAAATTAGCCCAGCTACACACCCCAATAGCAAGATACAAACCGGGACAAAAAGAAAAATCTGGAAACAACTGCTGTTTTTAACACATCGACCATCTCTTCCTTGGACACCATCAAAATGACCAGGGCACCATCAAAACATGACCGAGACACCGTCACAACACGATTGGGACACCATCACAACATAACCGGGACACCATCACAAGGTGACCGGGACACCATCAAAACATGACCGGGACACCGTCAAAACATGAGCGAGACACCGTCACAACATGAGCGAGACACCATCACAACATGACTGGGACACCGTCGCACCGTCGCAACATGACCGGGACACCATCGGGACACCATCACAAGTTGACCGGGACACCAGCATGACATGACGGGAAAACCATCGCAAGATGACCAGGACACCATCACAACATGACCGGGACACCGTCACATGACCCGGACACCATCAAAACATAACCGGCACACCGCCAAAACATGACCAGGACACCATCACAACAGGACCGGGACACCATCAAAACATGATCGGGACACTGTCACAACATGACCGGGACACCGTCAAAACATGACCGGGACACCATCACAACATGACCGGGACACCATCAAAACATGACCGGGACACCATGAAAACACGATTGGGACACCATCACAACATGACGGGGACACCATCAAAACATGACCGGGACACCATCAAAGAGAAGAGGCAGGCCTGCCAGCTGCCGAGAAGAGGGCAAGGCTGCGGTGAGGCTCTGGGGAGCGTTTGAAGCCGGTCCAAAATGCCTAACGTTGCCTTCGGAAGCCCATAAGAAAAAAGGAGGCAGGCTTTGGACAGGCCACAGAGAGGCCGCAAGAGGCCTGCCGGCTGCCGAGAGGCTTTTGAAGCCGGTCCAAAATGCCTCACGTTGCCTTCGGAAGCCCATAAAAAGAAAGGAGGCAGGCTTCGGACAGGCCCGCAAGAGGCCTGCCGGCTGCCGAGAAGCTTCGGACAGGCCACAGAGAGGCTGCAAGAGGCCGAAAAGCTTTTGAAGGCGGTCCAAAATGCCTAAACGT